TAATTTCAATTTTTGCTCATGGTTATAAAAAACCCTGTGTGTTCAATCAAAAAGCTTTTATGTGCTTTGGAACTGAGGAAAGTGCAGTCATGTTATTAAGCTGAGCCTCACTTGTGTCTCCCCCAGCTTTGGAGCGGGGCTGTGAGGTGATGCTGATAGCAGTGCTGTGTCTGCTCTGTGCTGGGACACAGGCTTGCCAAGTGCACCTTGAGCCGTCTCTGCCTGGCCCCAGTGCAGCACCGTGCCTGAGTGGGGCTCAGCCCACGCTGAGATTTAATCAGCTGCCTTTCCTGGCTGGTCTTGAGTCAGGGAGAGAGGATGTATGGCCACAGATGTACTCCCATGTCTCATTTATTTGGGAAGTAGGAGGAAGAAGGGAAGGAGAGGGAGGTGCCGGAAGACCTAATCTTATTTGCAGGTCAAATCCAAAGGCTTTTGTGATGTTTTAAGGGGCATCTTGCTTAAATAAGAAATTAATAGGGACTTAGGAGGTTGCCTTTGGTTTTGTATTTAATGAGCAGTGATGTTAGGAACTTGGCATGTAGAGGTTACTTATTATCAGCCGTCGCTACGTTGTGTTGCCTCTTGATTTAATTTCTTGTAAATGCTTCCTTTTGAAAATATCCTTACCTTTAGAGTCATGTGAGAAATTATATGCAAAAACCTGAATTATAAGGGACCAGTATCGCCTTGCCAGCTTTATGCCAAATACAAATCCACAGCAGACAAACCATCAGTCTTCTGAAACTCAGCTATTATAAAATATCATAGAATTGTCTCCTAGAACCATAAAGTGGCTTGCGTTGGAAGGGACCTTAATTGTGACAAGCATGAACCTGTTGTAGTCCTACCCTCTGGACTGTCTTCAGAAGTATTTCAAGACTCATCTTTTTATTTATAGGTTCTATTTATGCCTTTATAGATGATGTGGCCATTGTCAACTCTTGTAGAAGGAGTTCCTTCTGCTAAAATAACTATTATGTGTCTTCCCAGAGCCTTGCTGTTGAATGCTTGCTCATCCTGGTGCAGTGATGCTCACAGCAGTTTGTCTCTCTTTTGCACTGATTGAGTGCTTTGAACTTACCCTACCAGACAGGGGACGCTTTCTGGTCCCCCTCTGCCAATGCCCTCATTTGCATGTATTCAATTCAGAAGCAGTAGCGGGGCAGAGACTTGTGGGAGAAAATTATGTCTGATAGCAGAGAGGTAGTGGAAATTATAATCCTTGTGATCAGCCAGTATCAATTAACTTTTTACTGTTGCTGAAGCCTCGTGCTGTTTGCATCCCATGGGGCCAGGGCAGTGAGTGCTGGAATGTCACCTCTCTGCGCCAGATGTGGATGTGTTTTGTGGCACTGGTGTCAGAGGGGTGACACCATGGTGCCTCCTGAGTGCCTAGGAGTGCCTCAGGATTGTGCTGCAAGCCCACCTGGAAGCCTGGTGCTCAGAGTGGGTGTCATGCTGAAGGCTGGCTCCTGCCAGTCAGCCCTGCTGAGATCAGTGCTGCTCCTTAGAGGAGGAATGGGGACATGTCTGCTGCACGCTGGGCAGGCCAGGAGTGCCCCTCCACTGGTTTTTGGACTGAGTTTTAGTAGCTGTATCTGAGGGAGAGCTTGCACCTGAGCATCAAACTGTTACCTCAACGTTTTCTTAAGACTAGTTTTTAAATTTAATGCTTTTATTCTGTTACAGAGCATTTTTGCAGCAGTTCTCAATAGGAGGATAACCATAAGAATGCTTCACTGTATTTTTCAGATTGGTTAGGTTACTGTTTTTCATGTTAATGAACATATATTAAGATCTTATTAGACAGCATGGCTGTGAGCAAAGTTCCTGTTGATCCCACTGGGAAATTTTATCTGTGACAAAGAATTGCAGGATCGGGTCATTATCGTTTCATTCTAGAAAAATGATTGTGACCTCCACTTGATGTCAAAGCAAATGAAAATCAGTGAAGAAAAATGTTCCCAAATTCTGAGATTTTAGTCTGCAACACATAGCCTGAGTTTGGAGATCCTGACACATAGGCAGAGGCTACCCTGGTAGAGATTGTCTTTGAGATAACATACTATTAGTTTGGTAAATAATAGTAAAATTACCCTCTGCTTAAAATCAAATTAAAAATTTAAGCAGAACTGGCAGGGTCCTGGAGTGTGTCGAATGCCTAGCAATAGAAACCATCATGGCATTACAGAAAGTAAGACAGTGTTAATTACAGAAGTTGTTTGTCCCACAGAGAAGGAGGTTGGTGGTAGCAGTGATTTATTTCAGAGGGCATTTAGTCATTGCACTATTCCTAGACAAGGCTCTGAATTTAAGTGATACTTAGACTTCTAAATAACTTCTCAAACCAAATTTAGGTGCTTGAGTCACATATATGTTTTTGAAATTAGTCCTGTCTTTCTGTCAGCCATTTCTACATGGCAGATCTTGGAAGATCCAGCACCTACTGGATGTGGTACAGTTAAGTAGGAGCTGGGAGCTGAAAGTGTCAAGAGGAGGTTGGTGGATACCTGCCAGCAGCTGCAGTATGGAAAAGGATGATCCGATGTGCCCAGGGTGTTTTTGGAGCTGCTGTGCTCGTGCAGCTGGTCTCTGTGTGCCCCTTGTGTCAGAGGCTCCTGGAATGTGTCATCTTTGCTGTCGTGTGCACACATCTACCTTGCAGCCCAGAGATCTTGGGCTTGTGGCTCACAGTCACCCTGCACGTGTTCACTGGCCCTTTCTCAGGGATTGCCCAACACCCTGCAGCCAGAAATCTGGGCAAATACTGTGCAGAGAGGGAAGCAGGACAAAATGGGAGCATCAGACTGAATCTGAGTCGTATTTGCCAGGCAGTTCAGTCCTCCCTGTGACCCTGAGCTGTGCAGGCATTGGGGTGTTTTAGTGAGATTTCAAGGCTGGGGCTGGGGCTGTCTAACAGTCTTCACTGGGGCTGAGGTCCCTCTCATCTCTGGGAACTCTGTCAGGCACCAGGGCTGCGGGAGACAGGAGGATAGATAAGTAGGCATTGGAGTGGGAAGGTATGTAGGCCAACATGGGAGAATCCCACTCTTCTGAATTAGTCCACACAGCATGAAGAACTGCATTGTTTTTTAATATCAAGGGTGTCAGATATGGATTTGTGATCCTGATACTGCATAATCAATTCTCTTCCCTCTGCTGTGCTTTGTCAGGAACAGTTTTGTTCATTTGCAGTCCGTGTTCACGCTTTCCTTCCTGTTTTGCTGTCTTTATAGATTTTTATCTGAAAGTTGAAAATGTTTTTTGTTGATATTGGGAAGATTGCGCCTGCTTTTGGAAATGAGCGAGCGACACAACATGATGATAAAATAGCCATTTGAGATGCATTTATTACTGCTGATAACACAATAATGTTGTCTGGAATATTTGCAGTTGAGAAAGGGGGGTGGATCTCCTCAAGTGTTCAGGAGCCATCTGAAGTTCAGGCATCTTGCTGACATCAGCTGCCCCACTGGGCACCCTCTTGAGACAGCAGCAAGAGGTCAGAAGGGACATAATCCTTTCTGGAGATGTAGGTCTTAAATACATCTTTTGTATGCACTGGATGGGACAGGAAGGATTGCTCCCTTGAAATGAGTCTCTTTCCTCTGACTACGAAAGGAGCCTGAGAGGCTTTGTTTGACTTGCTGCCCAAGATTTGGGTAGTTAGAGTAGGGGAAATGAATCCCAGGCCTGCTCATTTGGCAGTACAAACCTCAATGAAAGTTAGTGGGAGTTAAGGCTTTTGAACCTTCCAAGTGCTGTAGATAATGCCACTATTAAGTTTGATGTTTCCTGTGAGATACTTGCCTGTGTCTGGACTCACAAATGTGATTTGTCAGTTAAGCCTGAGATCAAATTCTTCCAGAGGCCTGTTATGAAGGAAGGAGAATAGTGTGATCCATGATAATGTGAAGTGCTCAGAATCCAATTTTAAGTGGTGCAAGCCCTACAGCAATGTAGTCTGTAAGTAATAGAAGGTATTATTGGGCAGTGATATGCCAAATCTATGTGCTACATCGATCAGCTCCATTGTTTTTCTATGGTATTTTAGGTTAGCGATTACTTTCATTTTAGAACATATTTGAAAATACATCAATTTCTTAGGGGAGCAGAGGGTATGTTGGTGGGTACATGCATTTTGCTCTGTCTTCTGAGTTTTAGAAGCACAACTTTTCCTAAGTGTGGCATTTTTGTAGGTTTCTGTGACCATTTAAAAGCACGATTATTGATGTAAAATGTGACTGTCCAGATGGCAAAGGAGAGGCTAGTGATAAATGGCCTTTGGCACTTTGCTGAGCATGAGTCTTCTGCCCTATTTCTGGGTTGATATCTTTACCTTCTAACATGGATGCCCCATGCATCAGAAGCTTGGGGGAGCCCTTCTGCAGCCTGTTAGGAGGGGCTCTTTGTGGGGATGATTTGGCCACTAAGGTACTCCATGATTTATAACTAAATTACATCCTACAAATGGACTTCATTTGGAGATTGCTCACTCGCCTTGAATGGTACTTTTTGTGTTGCTAGAAACTGCTTGACTTGTTTTATTCCCTGGGTTCTGAGGCAGGGGGGTCCTTAGGTTTGACAGCTTGTGCTGAGTTGAAGTGCTGTGTGCTGGGGATCACCATGGCATCACTAGGTGAGTGGCAGCTGAGCACTCAGTTCTCCTGTTGCACATGCTGTAGGTCAGGAACTAACTATTATGTGTATATATACATACATACACACACACACACACACACTTTTCCTCGGAATTACTTTTATTGCAATTGATCTTCATCTGCAGGGCATGTAAATGCTGCAGTTTATTAGAGTCCCTGCTAAATACCTTCTTCAAAGTGGCAGAAAGACAACCCATACATCTGTACCAGTACTCTTCAGTACGCTGAAGTGCGTTTGGGTAAAAGTTGCATCTTCCTTCTCTCTCATGCTTCCCTCCCCCCTCTCTGTTTTGTTTGTTTCAGGTTCTCGGCCTTTTTGGATCTACACAGTGGAAGTTGCATCTTGTGTATGGCGTGGTTAAGCTTGCAGCCTGTCACCTCGGCCTTCCTCCATTTTGGGCTGGTTACTTTTGTGCTGTTTTTGCATGGTTTGCAGGTGGATGCTGGCCTGACGGGAGACTCAACCAGTACAGTACAAAACAGCTCGTGTTCAGGATCTTTTGACTGCAAGGAGGGTGTTATCCTGCCAATATGGTACCCAGAAAACCCATCCCTTGGGGACAAAATTGCCCGTGTTATCGTATACTTTGTAGCGCTGATCTACATGTTCCTTGGAGTCTCCATCATTGCAGATCGTTTCATGGCATCTATAGAGGTCATTACATCACAGGAGAAAGAAATAACGATTAAGAAACCCAATGGAGAGACCACAACAACCACCATTCGGATTTGGAATGAAACTGTTTCCAACTTGACCCTCATGGCTCTGGGCTCCTCTGCTCCTGAGATCCTCTTGTCTCTGATAGAAGTGTGTGGGCATGGATTCATAGCTGGAGACCTGGGGCCATCTACAATTGTTGGCAGTGCTGCTTTCAATATGTTTATCATCATTGCCATCTGTGTCTATGTGATCCCTGACGGGGAAACCAGGAAGATAAAACACCTGAGGGTTTTCTTTGTCACAGCTGCATGGAGCATCTTTGCTTACATCTGGTTGTACATGATCCTTGCTGTCTTCTCTCCAGGGGTGGTTCAGGTTTGGGAAGGCCTGCTCACGCTTTTCTTCTTTCCACTTTGTGTCGTTCTGGCTTGGATAGCAGATAGACGTCTGCTTTTCTACAAGTATATGCACAAAAAGTACCGTACTGATAAGCACAGGGGCATTATCATAGAATCAGAAGGTGATCACCCTAAGGGAATTGAGATGGATGGCAAGATGATGAACTCTCATTTTCTAGATGGGAACTTAGTGACTGTGGAGGGGAAGGAGGTAGATGAATCTCGCAAAGAGATGATCCGCATCCTAAAGGACCTGAAGCAAAAGCACCCAGAAAAGGACTTGGACCAGCTGGTGGAGATGGCCAACTACTACGCCTTGTCTCATCAGCAGAAGAGCAGAGCCTTTTATCGCATTCAAGCAACCAGAATGATGACGGGGGCTGGCAATATTCTGAAGAAGCACGCAGCCGAGCAAGCCAAGAGAACCACTAGCTTGCATGAGGTACGGCCAGAGGAACCCGAGGAATTCATCTCCAAAATTTATTTTGACCCATGCTCCTACCAGTGTCTTGAGAACTGTGGTGCCGTTCTCCTGACAGTGGTGCGGAAAGGAGGGGACATGTCCAAGACCATCTATGTGGACTATAAAACAGAGGATGGCTCTGCCAATGCTGGTGCTGACTATGAGTTCACAGAGGGGACTGTTGTCTTGAAATCTGGGGAGACCCAGAAGGAGTTCTCGGTGGGAATTATTGATGATGACATATTTGAGGAAGATGAGCATTTCTTTGTGCGGCTCAGTAACCTCCGTGTGGTGGAGAGTGAGGAACCTCCGGAGCTCAGTAACTCCCCATACCCAAAGGCCATATTGGCTTCTCCTTGCGTGGCCACAGTGACTATCCTGGACGATGACCATGCTGGCATCTTCACATTTGAGTGTGACATTATACATGTCAGTGAGAGCATTGGTGTGATGGAAGTCAAAGTCCTAAGGACATCAGGCGCGCGGGGTACGGTCATAGTGCCATTTAGGACAGTAGAAGGGACAGCAAAAGGAGGTGGAGAAGACTTTGAAGACACTTACGGGGAGCTGGAGTTCAAGAATGATGAAACTGTGTAAGTACCCCATTCATTTCTGTTCTTGGGTCTAGTTATGGTATTTAACCCCACATTTTGAGTCCGTTACAGGTGAATGCTGACGAGGGACAGGCTCCTTTCTTCAGCTTTCCATCAGTTTCCCTGCTTACCTCTTTCAGGCAAGAGCCGACAGCAGGATTTAAGAGCTCAAAGCTCTTGTCCCTTCCCTCTTGGGAGTGACAAATTGAGGCTTAGAAACACTGGGGACCAGGGGATAGGAAGAAAATATATCATTCTCTGAAGTCCTGTACTAAAGCTAAGGGTTAATGGAGAGTTAAGGCAGAGAGAGAAGGAAAAAGATGAGGTTTTACTTGGCTGGGCAAACACAGGAAAGCCTCTTTTTGAACACCAAACACAGGGAACACAGGAGTTTGTTGCAATCCCTAGATTAAAGGTTCGTAACAATTATTCCCAGGCATGCAAGAGCTGCTCAGTAGTCCTGGGGTTTTATTTTCACAGGAGCAATACTTCATACCTGTGTCCCTAGGCTTGCCTGTGCAACTGGCAGGTCTGTGTGGCAGCTAATTCACAGCATAGGCACAGCTGCAAAACCATTCTGCTGGACCTGAAATCCTTGCAGCCTTTATGACTCTATGGTCTACCCATCTTCCCTACATCACCTTCCCTAAGATCTCTGTAATCTGTTCATTTGCTACCTGTGGTTTTTTCCCCTTATAAAATACTGTGGCAAATGGCAATGGTCTAAAGCATTGCAGATCAGAGCCTGCCCACGTGGCTCTATGACCCAGTGTTTTCATACAGAATAAAGAAGGGAAGCAGCACCCATCCTATTAATTCAGCTTTTTTTGTTACATGCTAAGTAGCTGATGCTAAACTAGGAAGTAATAAAGACCAGAGAGGTGATAATATCTAATTGCTCCAAGTACCTGTTGTGAGGAATGAGAAAAATCCCTTAGCTGAGCAGGGAGAAGGACAGAAGTGTGAGCCTGGTGCTAAAACTCCCGAGTACTAAGTGCCTAGTTCCTTTTGTTAAAACCTTATCACTTGACCTATCACAGGAAGAGTTGTGTAGGCTTGCATCTGACATCAGAGAAAGGAAATGTTTGTACCAAGCCTCCCAATACTGTGCCCAGAAGGATGTTAATGTATTAAATTCTAGGAAGTAGAGATGTCCTAATTTGATAGGATCTTCTGTCTTAGCCCACTAAACCATTTAATCCAGCTGATATCCAGTCTTGATGCTTGATTATAAGTATGTGCTCTTCCTGTTAAAGGAAGAGAAGTTCCTGTTGGCTGGCTTCAGCCACTGTCAGAGCTGGAAGGGGATCAGCTGTCCTAATCTGGCCTTTTTGGGAAGATGGGCCATGCAGGTTAGTCTCCTTAACTGGGCCACAAGCTGATTTCTGGAGAAAGTGAAGAAGAATGCTAGGTTTGTGGTTACAGTGTCCTGTAAGCAGGCTACCTAAAATATGATGGGTACTACCTTGCTTCAATGAGGTCTTGAAGCAAGGAGGCTTTCCTTGCTTGAAGAAGACCCATCAGTGAAAGGCCAGCAGATTTGGGGTACCAGAGATGGGATACTCTGAGCTATACTCCCTTTCTCTCATGTGCTGGCTAATGGAAGATTTCTTTTGTCTTTGAGAAGTGTGACAGAAGGTCAGAGCATACCTATATAGTTGCTTCACTTGGGTTAAAACAAATCACTTTCAGCAGGACCAGGTGCATCTTTGTGGCACAGCCTCTAATAAAAAAAAGTCCAGAAAACGTGTAGGTTGTTAACACTAGTTTTTGACCCAGCAATGGCCTAGAACATAGACAAGATATTTGCAGGGTATTTAAAATGGTGACCACACCTGATGCATTAATGAGTCTTTCACTTCTGCATCAGAAGCCTGCTGGGAGCAAAGCCCACAAGCCACAGTGGCCATGGAGATCATGTGGCTAGCAGATTTTAATTCCTTTTGGAGCTAGAATTGGTGTAGTGGCTCAACATAGCATTTAATCAAACTAATAAGCATAACAAGGAGGGAGATGATATCAGCCAGCACATATCTTTATTCACTCTCTATTTACTCCTTTATTCATGCCTCCAGGAATGGAATTTTAGTTTGGACACTTGGAGGCAATTTTCAGTAATCAGTCTTTGGCCTTTAATTTCAGTGAACACAGGTCAGTTGCTGCATTTTGCTAGCTCCTCTCTTAGGTGCAGCTTGTAGCAGCTGTAGAAAGCAGTAGTAGGTGGGTTTCTGCTTCTCTTCTTTCTAAATCTGAATGTAGAAAAATAATTTTGAGTAAATATGTAGGCTGCAAACAAATTTGAAGTGGCTTAGATCTGAATTTGGACTTCAGACCCATAATGCTGCTGTTCCAATGAGCAGTTTGCTCAGCCCAGTTTGGGAAGATGGGTGGATAGTGTGTTTGGTACAGTTTTGCTGACCCAGAGGGCACTGTATGAGTCACAGAATTGCTTGGTACAAGGCTGTCTGAAGACACTGGGTCACTGAATAGCCAGAGCATTGTCTGGCTAAATATTTGAGTCTCTGCCTCTTAGATGCCTTGCCACTGAGGGGGATCCACCACGAGGTGCTCACATCCCCTGTATGCTGAAGGGGGAACCAAGAGTCCACCAAACCCAATAGAGAATAGAGAGGACAGCAGGGAGACCAAGATGATCAGTAGGCAATACAAAGGGAGTCAGAAAGCAGTGAGAAATTATTGTGCTCCCCACTTCAGCCTACTGTTTAGATCCTTGCCCACGAGAAGTGGAACTTGGACTCCAGTTTCTATGCTGGTGTAAAACTCCTACACCAGTGCCCACCTCACTGCCTTAACCTTCTCAGTCTTCTCATAGAGTCACTTTGATAAGACTTTTTGCCTCATGGAGGAGAGAATTATTTAACATCTTGTGAACATGTAAGACAGTGCTGAGGTTTGCCATGGCCATACATGTGTGTTGAGGATCTGCAGAGCTGCAGCCACCTGGAAGCACTGATCTGTGTAAAATGAAGGAGAGCAAAGCTTCAGTTCATACTCTCAGCTTGTTCTCCATCACATGAACTAAAAAACTTGCTCTTGCATTGTGCAGCAGCAGGCAATCTGTAAGCAGTTTGGAGGTTGGCCTCCTGAAGTGTAGCAATGGCTGAATTAATCTGAGGGGCACCAGAATACACAGCATCCCTGGGATCAAACTGTAGGAGAGGCTCTGCCACCTACCAGATCCTGAGGGCAAAGGATAAGCACTTTCCTTGGAGAACAGGTCTTCACTTAGATATACCAAGATAAAACAAACTGTCTCAGGGTTGTTTTTGAGAGGCTTTCCCTAAAATATGTGGGACCAAAAAAAGATGAGTTGTTGTGAGCTTTACGGAACAAGAGGGAAATGGGTCCTGCCAGCGGGTCTTGCTCATTGCCTCTGTGATTCTTTCTAGACTAACACAGTCAAAGTTTCCTTACTCACTTCTGGGTGGGAGCACAAGAGAAAGCAGGCTGAGATGAGGGGGGTTGAAACAATTCCATTATTGCTGAAATATGGTCCTATGCAGAGTGTGTGTACGTGTGTATGTATGGATGTGTTTGAGTGTTGGATAGCAGTGAATCAAGCCATGTAATCTTGAATGCTGTCATATGTTCAGAATTCATCAAGACTCAAATATTTGATTATGCTGCCTCTTTTTCAATACATTTGTTATTTCTGAACTCCTGACCCAATGAGGGTCAGATGTAAGCAGCTGAAGTGGAATCTTAGCTCTCTTGTTGACTAAAAGGATCAATCAAATGAAAAACGGCTTTTTTTTTTTATTTTTTTTTTTTTTTGGCAAGATGACTGAATACTTTTCTCTTAAATGATTTTGTGTGGAAATAAATGTTAGGTTCTTGAAGGTATGAAAATGTGGAAGAATGATTGACCTTGCTGCTTTATCATGTCTAAGCAATATGGAAATCATTAAGAGCCAGAAGCAAAAAATGAATTGAGTTTTGAAGGATTTTCTTTTTACATTAGAAAGAGAACTCCTATCATGTCATTAAATTTAATTTAAATTTTCTCTGTTTAAATTGTTTCTTCTGTTTAAAACTGTTCAAATTCATATGGAAATTTGTCTATGTCTTGTTTTAGAATGTTTGGAAAGATGCACAAATTACCAGTAGCTAGCTGATATGCCAGGTTCTGCTGTGGCCCTGTCACTTGCAGCAGCTGTACTGAGTTAAGGCTTAGGCCAAGAGATCTACTTTGGCAGGTGCCTTTGTTGCTTGCTAAGTTACTTGCAGGACCTGCAGACTACTGGAATTACAGCTATTTGTCCTGAGCCTTCACAGAGTGTTGCCTGTGGCTACTGAGAGGTGCTGTGGTGTTGAAGATACTCAATGGGCTGCAGAGCCTCTTCACAAAGTCAGCGTGGCTGAGCTTTGGTAGCACATGGAAACCTGGCATTGCTTATCTAAGTGTGTGTTAGGCAGGGCACTTAATATCAGAAGGGCTGTCTGTTCACCTGCTGTGATGGCTCTTGGCTTCTCCCAGCAGATCTGGTGAAGATGATAGTGGAGAAAAGGGAGTGGTGGTTTTCTGGTTGAAGGATGTCACACTGAGGCATAGCATCATTAACTGGCCTTCCTTTTTGCCATGCAGCACTTGAGGAAACTGTCAACTTAATTTTTTAATTTGATCACCTACACAGTCATGGTTGTGTCATTCTGAGGGGAATGCTATTATTGATAATTAGGTCTTTTGCTTGATGTTTCATCAGTAGATCTCATAGCACTCTGCAGAGGAGATTGAGAGACAGTATTCCCATTTTGCAGATGTGGGAAAATACAGAGAAAGTGACTTTTCTTCCTTCTGGATTACCCAGCAGATCAAAGGCAAAGACACGAATAAAAACTGATCTCCCTGAACTGCTGACATGTGCTCTATCCAGAGAAGGTCTGTGTACATCAAGCTTATAGTTTCCCATTACTCACGACCACATTGAATTTTTGCAGAATCACTGACCTCTCTCCAGCTGTTGAGAGTTGGGATGGTA